ATCTTCCAACCGACGGGCCTGTTCCTCCTGTCGGCGGGCCTGTTCGTCTTGTCGACGGGCCTTTTCCTCCAGTCCGCCCCGCAGCTGCTGCAGCATCACCATCAGAGCACCTAAGTCAGGTGCTACAGACGTAGGAGCTGCTGATGAGCCGGCCTCCGTGGCCGGCGGCTGGAACTCAGACGTCTGCGGCGTTACACCACCAAATCGTCTCTGATCCGTCTTCTGCTGGCGTTGACTACGGGTACTGACACCCTCCATTTCGTCCTTAGGTAAAATCGGCACGATTTGATCCCACTTCTGACACCAATTGTTACGATTTTGAGGTTCTTGACAATAAAAACTGCCGATTGTATTACCAAAATTTACACCTTTACTACCGAACACCAATCAAAACTAAAAACACTAATAATTAATCACACTGATTCACTTTATTTCGCTCCGCCTCGCTTGCCTCGCCAAATTCAATACTGCCCCCGATCGCGTATTGCAGAGCCTTAAATACATCTTTTTTACCGAAACATCCAGAATATTCAAGTAAATACGCGCGCCAACCGACCAGGCGCCGAAAGTTCGAGTGTAGGGCTTTTAGAAAGCTTAGTTCTTCAATTTGATACTAGATGGCGCTGTCGGTTGAAAGATTAGTCATGTCATTTTCTGGAAAGCTCTCCTCGCTCTGTTACCCGACACTAGATGGCGCTAGTGCTAGACGTCAACTTAGGCGCGCAACAATGCATTCGCCAGCGTTGCCAAGTTAGATTTTAATTTTAGCTATTTAGGTTAGATCTGAAGTAATTGGGGCGAAAAAATTTGTGATTTGCGACTAGTCGCCAATTAGGTTATCTCAGAAAGTAGGCGATTGTAAGGGATATTCTGTGTATATTTTATTAGAAAATAAGAAAATGTATATTTTGTGACCGGCTTCTTAAGTAGATTTTTATTCCAATGTTGTCTACTTCTGTGCTTACACTTCCTGTTACTAACATAACCCTTTTTCTTACTCATATACTTCTGATGAATAACAAAACCCTAAATGCTTGTAAGTACAAGTGTTTAAATTAACGATTTTTCTTAAAATTTTACCCATAAAAATTGGAAACCCTTTTACTTACACTTATACTTCTGGTGAATTACATAACCCTAAAGGCTTGTACAGGTGTTTAAATTAAAAACTTTTCTTAAAATTTTACTTATAAAAATTGGACTTTTGAAGACTGACTACTCTTGCTTTTGTTTTGTAATAGCGCTATCTATTTATTATATAAGTAATGTCACTTTATCGAACCAAATTGATTAACTCTCATGGTGGTACGTAGAAAAGACGCTAGAGATTAATATAAAATTTTTTGTGTACATGACGTACACAAAAAATTTTATATTAATCGGTAAATTAAGAAATGTGTATTGTTATAACTGATGACATTACTTATAGAATAAAGTAGATGGCGATATTACGAAGCAAAATAATTGTTACCCTGAAGCCCGAAATGACCTGGTGACCATATGAGAAATAAATACTTAAATTATTCGGTCACTAGGAATGAATCAATGACACATGTTCATGCGGCAGTCCACTGTTGAACATACGTCCCTCAAAAGGCGCGGCACCGAGTGCGGTCTTCGGCTTCCACGCACGCATCCAGTTCCTATCAGCCATCTTGCCCAGATTGTCGCTCTATCCAACCTTGGGCCATCCCACACTACGTCTACCTAGGCGTTGTTTCCCCTCTATAACACGTCTACTACACCGGTTGTAACTTCTGCGGCAGAAGTGACCAGCCTATTTCCACTTCAATTTACAAACACGGAAGGGCATATCAGTAATATTGATTCTCCGGCTGATTTGAATTCATTACGAATTATACACCAGAGAAACGCGACTTTGAGCTAATATTATTAAATAAAAGACGACATTACATTAAAAAAACATACAAAGTGTCTGTTACGGCCCTCAGTTACCCCGACAAAAGTCGACAGGATTAGGGACCATCAGTAATCCAATTCGACGAGCAACCGATGGGAGGGCCCAAATGGCCTATGGATAATTAATTTATAACGGCTGTATAGGCAAACACAAACTTACCGAGTTCCGGAGGTAGGGTCCCAGGTTGCCCAGCTCCACAAGGTGCATTCACTTCAGTGGGCGTCACTGGAGGCACTGGAGTCACTTAGCACAAACTATAATCGAACGCGATCTCCACCCTGGTCACAAAGTTTAGCGTTCCAAACGACAAGCAAAATTACTTAGTGCGATATTGACACAAGCCACGCGTCGATGCCAATTAATGGCAATCGATGTTAAATTAGTCACTCAAAACTCAAAAAAAGCCTCGTTGTCACGTATATTAACGAAATAAGACAACACAAAGGAGGCCGTCGTAATGCGACGTAACGATTATTACGTAACTCCCGACTTCTAATCGACACAGCCGTCGCGTCCAATCGAATATTCTAGACTAATTTCGTGACCTCCACCGGCACGGCCGTAATGCACAAGGATTCTACTAGACTAGACTCGCTGGCAGCGCCGTAGGCGCAAAGCGAACGCCCATGCTTAAAGAAAAACACTTGAAAAGTCACTATTGCATAATACTTATATCTAGATTTACTTTCCACATAAAAGTTCCTCAAACTGATTAATGCTCTTATTTTAATGCTTTACCAACGATTTTATCAAAATAATTATTTTAAATACCTACACTTTAAACTAGAACATTTTGTAACAATTTATTACCCATGCATTTTATACACTAAAAAAATCATCTTTCAAGTATCAAATGTGGCAAATAGTGCGTGTTACACATGTATACGCAAATACAGATGCATTCACGATCAATATTTTAAGTCGCCTTACTAAATATTATGTGTATTAATATTTATTTTCCGTGCTCTATTTTAAGCCTGAATTCATCAAAGTCTTAGAGCTGAAACGAATTTTAATTTCATGAATTTTAAAGTTGCGTCAGGCGATGTTTAAACGGCGAGCTTAGTTAAAATTTAAATTAATGTAATACTTGTAATTAATTAAAATTTTAGCAGCAATTTGTTAACGTTATAATTTTGTATTGTATTTTCTTAGAGGTATTTTCGGCAATCTGTTTCTAAATACATAAATGATAATAAGCGCAATATATTTGTCTATTATTAAATTAAATCAAACAAGTCCGATACGTCACTGGTGGTTGCGATGGCGTTTTTATGCTGTGTATGGATGGATCATACAAAATATAAACTAAACGCCTCATATTTATATACATCTTTAGAAAAATATATTTGTGTTGTCGTGAAATTTTTCCTTTACTACAATCACGTCGTAAAATCACAATGAACATGATATCAGTTTTGACGACGTATCGTACGACGAAATAAAACTCAATTAAATTGTATTAAAAATTCTAGATATAATCACTATACAAGGCAGACAACGAGACACATAGGTTGGCAACACCCAACGCCCTACGTATTTATGTAAAATGCCGCCACAAGCTTTTTAATATTCTATCCTTTATTGTAACTTTAGTATTGCGTAAATAAAGGTGGCTTATAAGATAATATTTAATTATTATTATGCGTATGCATGTAGGAAGGCGTGTATTATTGAAATTCAAATAAATTTCAATAATACATACCACAAATAATAATACATATCATAAATAAAATCACTTTTTCTGTAAAACAATTTTATCACAATTACTACGAGCCTTGTTATTGTAATTATGAGCAATATTCTCAATAGGGTACGATTTTTTAAACTGAAGTTTTCAGAATTTTAGGATTTTTAAAAAAAATGATATTAATTCTCATTCGCCATAGCAGATTGTCTCAAAGTGACAAAAACGGCTTTTGAAATAATCACAAGCAAGATTGTCCTTTTTAACCGACTTCAAAAGAGAGGAAGGAGTTGTCCAATTCGACTTATGTATAACCTCAGAACTTTTTTGAGGTGAACCGATTTTGATGATTCTTTTTTTATTTGAAAGCTGGTGCTTCTCTTGTGGTCCCATATAAATTCAGATTAATATCAAGATCTGACCAGAAGTTTTTAAGTTATCCTAAATAATGCGTATTCAATTGATTTTGGATACATTGATGATGTTCTCATTTTATTTATATTGAAGTCGGTTGTAAATTTTTTTTAATTTTACAAATTGTTTGCCTTAACTTTTATGAATTGATTTGATTTGTATATGATATGGTTAAGATATAGTCAATTAGTAGTTTAAAACCTTGATAACGATTTTGATAATATACTCTGAACTCTGGATTGGATGATATTTGTTCTCCAAATTAACCTAAATTGCACGACCCAATCTGTAAATGTTATGTGTATGTTTTCGTGATTGTCATATATGAGTATTATAAGTGTACTTGTTAAATAAAATAAAATAAAAAAATAAAATGAACTATTTAATAGTTTTCTTTCTATAACCTAAGAAACCTTCATGGCTTTCTTGATGCGTCGCAGCCCACAGCATCATTACGTCATAGGACTTTCGACCGAAATAGACAAAACTTGTTGTAAGGTTTATTTTATCGATCTTAATTATAAGTCAAGGAAATGTATTCATATTTTTTTAATAAACCTTCACTTTAAGTAAGCAAAGGGCGCAAATTTTATATTCTTTGTATGACACCGAGTCGGTAGATATAGATATTTAAATCCAGAAAGATACCTAGATCGTTTAAAGTAATTATAAGATTTAGTAAACTACTTTTTGCTCGATATAACAGTTGCCTTTTAAAACTTTTGAAAATATTGGAGGTAATTTATGCAGCAGAAATCTACCCTACAACACGTTTGATACATAATTTATTTTTCAGTGGAAGCCATGGCATTTTTACTTACAATTTCATCTAGAAGACCACTTCTGCGACTCTCTGTTGCATTTCGAAACTATTGCTATAATATAAAACCACCCATCGTATATTCTGCCGAAGTGTTGCGTGCAAAGACAAAGGGAACACCGATTGTTGCACTGGAATCAACGATTATAACACATGGCATGCCTTACCCTCAAAATTTAGAGACAGCCCAGGAAGTCGAAAATATAATAAGAGAACGAGTAAGTAAGAGGAATGTCTTTTGCTATTTTATAATATAAAATAGAAGTACTAAAACTGGTCCTTTACTGCTGGCCGTATAAGGAAGGATCTATGTGAATATAGCCATCTCTATCTCATTCAGGCCATATAACAAACAAACATGTATCTAAAGTCGAGTCTGAAGACCCGACTTTAGATAGATGTTTGTTCCGATACTCAGTGAAGTGTTCCCGAAAAAATGGTGATGCTTCTTACACCGGCCGTAGCACTGTAACTGAAGAAACCACTAACCATAGGAATAAAAAGATTTTTTGAACTTTAATAGATTTTAGTATAACTATATCAATTTTTTTTTAATAGACTAGAGTGACAAACGACTACACAGGTAAGTGGTTGCTGTGACCCAGAGACATCTACATCTGTCCTCGATTACGAAACAAAAAGCAGATACGTTGTCACCCGTGAGGACTTAGGTGGAATGCATCGTTTCCAGTAAAAAGGGTCTCCGGTTCTCTACACTTACCATACGAAACACAGCAGCATTAAACTACTATTTGACGCTGGTATTCTGTGAGAGCGTGGTTCCTCCCCGGTCGAGCCGACCCATTCGTGCTACAACTATTAATATAACTGCAGCATGGCTCTACCACGTAATAAGATCAAATATCATGATGATGAACATTATTATCATTACAGCCCAACACAAGTCCACTATTGGACATAGGCCTCACCCAAGGAACGACACAAAGCATTTGGTCCTGAGTTTTGTATATCTAGTATAATATACAAAACTCAGTAAAATGCAGAATATAACTCCAGTCCCGCGACACAGGACCTTAAAAAGTGAGCCGTCCGTTGCTGCAATTACCAATTCGCCTTCTAAGCGTGCAGGAGACGTGGTTGTTCTGATAGCGCTTGCTGTAAATTTCACAGTATGTGAGTAATTCAAGTGTGATCCCCATCGGTACCAATGAAATTGTTCATTACAATTTTAAGTGCTGATTTACCACATGCTGGGTGGTGGAGGAATACTGTATGTCTGAGAAATAAGTAACGAAATATTTCAAAGACGTGTGAAGTTCGTCAACACGCATTGGGGCAGCGCGGCAGACACTTCTTTGCCCTTAAACCCTCTCAGAAGTGAGAGGCCTGCGCCCAGCAGTGCAATGGGACGTATATAAGCAGTAACTTTAACTTCAACTTCTAAGCGTAGCAAGTAAGGAAAATCCTTTTATGTAAGAGACCCATATTTAACCTTGAACTTACAGAACGATACATTTTTGTAAAGCTATTAGTTTCAAAATATTATTATTACGTATATAATAGTAATAAAGCTTCAATGACAGGGCGGAACACCTGCTACAATAGCAATTCTCAAAGGCCAGCTTACGGTCGGTGTGACAGAAGAACAGTTGCAGTATTTGGCACAGGCCAAGGACGTGGTAAAGGCATCACGAAGAGACCTCGCGGCTGTGATGGCGACAGGAGGCGACGGAGCCACTACCGTTGCCGGAACTATCATAGCAGCTGAGTTGGCGGAGATTGATGTATTTGTTACGGGAGGAATAGGTGAGTCCTGTAAAAAAAAAGCAAAAAGCGTATTACTGTACTCAATCAGTATCAAATACAATTTTTTTTAATAAGGGTGACAAACACACAGTCCGCCTGATGGTAAGTGGATGCTATGAATTAAACCAGCTGAATGAAAATACAGCTTTTGAAATAAAATTCTATTATTTTTTCATTAAAATAAAATTGCCGTGTAGTGGAATGTTGAGGATATCTATTACTCCATATCTTCCCGCGGGTGGCGTTAGAGGGGACAGAGGGAGACAGGCAGGATACGGGCAGCAGCATCTTCCTGACAACAGCAATTATACAATAAAGAACTGCGATTGCTAACTTGCTCGCCAAGCGTGACAACCATTGCAAACATCCCCCCATGAGCAACGATACAAACAAACGGCCCCCGGTCCCCGGCAGCTGTGCTATTCCTGGCTACGGTGGCGACCATTGTAACGACGAGGCAAGGGGTGCGACGACTCAATCTGGCGACGTATAACGCACTGGCCGCGCAGCTGGCTGACTTCATGGAGAAAGAGGAACTCTTTATGACAAACTCTTTCTTTCAGAAGCGTCACCACAGAAAGTGAACTTGATCGAGCCCCGACGGTTCGACAAAACATGAGATTGACTTCATTATGACGACCAGGCGCCAACTGTTCAGTAATGTCTCGTGATGGCGAGGGTGAAAACTGGCAGCGCGATCACCGAATGGTGTGTGTTGAGTGGTTAGAAGCACACTGAACTTAAACGTCAAGTTTCCCCTCGTGTGCTAATCTAGGGTCTCGAAAACTTTCAGCTCAATTTATAAAACCGTTTTCAGTGCCTAGAAGACTGCAAAACAGTGGACGATATGAATGACAAACTTGTAGATACTGTCCATGCGATCGGAGCTAAGTTCTGCAGGACCCACCGCAGAAGAACATGAAGCTGCAGTCTTCAGCAGATTTGACAGCATACAGGCAACTGAACAGATAGATCTCCAAAAACATGCGGCGGGACTTACGCAACTTCAATACAGCTCGTATTGAAGAAGCAACGCCAGGCCCAAAGCTCCAGAGATGTTCGCAGAAAGAGCAACTTGAAACTGAAGACCGAACGTGGCAGCATCGTTTCCATGACACCTGAGATTTTGAGTGAGATTGAGAGGTTCTATGGGCAGCTGTACGTCATCGTTGGAGCCACACGCAAGTGCGAGTAACAATCCAAGAGGAAGTCTTATCGGACACTATTCCGATGATATCCCGGCGTCAGTCTGAACGAGATTAGAATGGCTCTCCAGCAGCTTAAAAATGGCAAGTCCCCGGGCGAAGATAGAATTACAGTAGAACTTCTGAAAGCGGGTGGAAATACGGTACTTGAAGTACTTCAGAAGCTTTTTAATTCCGTCCTCCATGGTAGCACTACTACGAAAACATAGAGAAGAAATGCGGTGGTCATGTTCTTCAAGAAAAACGACAACGCTCTCTTGAAGAACTAAAGAACTTGAAGAGCTTCTGAAGGACTTTAAGTACCGGTTTTTACAACAGTCAGTTGAATTTGCAAATTTCTAAACCGTCTTCCAATTAACAGTTTAAACATTTTCTTTGTTTTATTAATTAAAATCCATAAAACATTTGCAGAAATCAGAATAACTTATCTTATTAAATGTGATTCAGAATAAATCCAGCATTTCGTGGTATTACCCTAAACTAACTTATCATGTACATCCCACCTTGATGTTCTCTCCTCGGCTAACCGACTGCTAACAATGAATTTATTCATTTTCATCGTAACAAGTGCCTATCGTCTCTATTGAATATTCATGTTCATAGGCTTTTACTTGTGGTACGCTTTTTGTATGTAAATTATTATGTAGCGATTTAAATTATTCTAGGTACCGACTAGAAATTTTGTAACTACAACATAATATTTTTTGTTTTGTAAGCCTACCTGATGGTAAGTGGTGATATAGCCTAAGATGGTGAAGCGCACTGACTTAACAAAAGTCTAATCACTCTTGCCTTGAAGACACCCGCACTGTAATCGGATAGAAAGAAAGATGCTGGCAACTTATTCCACTCCTTTTCAGTACGTATGATGAAGGACGTAGCAAACCGTTTGATTCGAATGCGTTGTAAATCAACAACGAAAGAGTGGAGACTAGCCGAACGTCTGGTTGTCCGATGATGGAAGGGAGAGGGAGTAATTAGATTATGCAATTCCTGCGCACACTCTTCCAAATGCGTTCAATAGAAAACTGAAAGACTGGCTACTTTACGTCTAAGTAAGGCTGGCTGGTAAGATTAATTTTAAACGAATTCGGGTCACCAATAAGCTTCTTAGCACGCCTTTCCATTGAGTCCAAGGCTGCTAGATAGAATTTTGCAGCACCAGCCCATATGTGACAGCAATACTCCGTGCACGACCGAACTTATGCTTTATATAAAATAAGCAGCTATCAGAACAGCGTGAAGTATCGCCGCAAATTTGTAAGGTACAGCGATACTTCACACCACTTCCAACTCCTAGCGTCCTTGCAGCTGCTTTGATTTGGACTCATTGAACCGCCCGAAGTTCAGATTTGAGGCTATCTCAATCCACAACAATTGGAGGCTGTCTGTTTATTCCAGCCAAGGTGAGCTGGCTCCTTTTTGCAATGAAGATACACGCTTGTGTTTTGTGAATTGTAATATTAAGTATTGACTTATAAATATAATAAATTAACAACTTTTGAGCCTCTTACTGTAGAGACAGTCCTCTTGTCATTTTTGAGGGTGTAACGAAGTTGGTGCGAGTAGACGTTGCTTTTTACTTTTATATTTTTTTTAAATATAGAGCTTTTGCCCAAAGTATTAACAATTGTCATCATCATCATAACAACTTACTAAAATCGCTCCTACATAAGCCTCCGCCATAGATTGCCTTATAGATTTAAATCGGCACTAATAATAACTACGAAAAATTCTAATGATACGAGTACATACTGGCAACGAAAATCAAACTAAGATTATTTAGTTTCCTTATGTATAGAAATAATTATACACAGCTCTTGAGTTCTCAACAGTCTCGTATTTCATGCTTGAATTACTAAACTCGGTTTGACTAAGGACTAAATTGTTATCGACTTATAATTAAGTATTTGATGATTTTGCACAAAATTATTTACGAATTTGAAAAGGCAAAGGATAATATTCCTATTTTGTCTTATCTTTTTTATGCTAGGTATCTACAATCGAATTGAAACTAAGTAAATATAAAAAAAACTTCTACAGCGGCTTGAAGTAATACTAGGTTTTGATGGAAGCGCGCTTCAAGATGTAGCCAATCTTGTCAGTGACTCCTCTAACATATGGCAGTACAGCAGGTACACGCTCGACTGTGGCCGGCTTCACTCGTTCACTGTGACGTAGGCGCGGGACTCGAAGCTTGTTGTCATGCAAAACTTGCTTGACATGGTGGAGCTCTGCAGCCAGGTGTTTACTGTCACAGATTCCTCGTGCTCTCTGAAACAAAGATTTACCCACGGTAGCTAACTGTGAAGGATGGTGGTGAGAATCACCGTAGATAGATATTTAAACGGTGATTCTCACCACCATCCTTGGAGGAGTCACTGACAAGATTGGCTACATCTTGAAGCGCGCTTCCATCAAAACATACTTCAAGCCGCTGAAGAAGATTGGTCAGTTTTTACCATCGGTCAAGTGTAATGTCCCTCTACAAGATGCAGGAGTGTACAAGCTTGATTGTGAATGTGGTCTCTCCTACATAGGACAAACTAAAAGATCAATAAAAACCCGCGTTAAAGAACATATAGCTGATGTGAAGAATCGACGCTCCGGGAAGTCTGCAGTCTGTGAACACGTACAGGATCGCCCCCGTCACTACATCAGATTTGATAGACCGCAGATCCTCGCTAAAGAACACCGATTCCTTCCAAGGATGATTCACGAGGCTATTGAAATCAAAAAACATCCTAATTTCAATAGAGAAGATGGCTGGGTGCTACCATCTGCTTGGGATCCTATAATAAATAAAATTAAATCCCAACCCAAGCATACAACTGCAAGACTTCAAGATACCATAAGTTCATACTGCATAGATCGGAACAAAAGTTAAATTTTAATCTATGGTAACCGCGGTTAACTATGACATATGGACGTTGAACATCTCAGTCCTGCCCGTGACCATGAGTGCTGTAAAGCGTTCGAAACGTCGGGTAATTAAAAAAGTTAAATACACGCGATAAATTCCGTAAAACCTAGTATTATTTCAATAAAAAAAACTTATTGGTGTTTGGTTAAAGTTGTATTTATATTTATCAACTGCAACGTGTTACTATTAAACCTGTACAGTTTATACATAAATTATTTCAATACAGTTTATCACACACACACACACACACACGCACGCACGCACGCACGCGCGCAAGCACGCACGCACGCACGCACACGCACACGCACACGCACACGCACACGCACACGCACACGCACACGCACACGCACACGCACACGCACACGTACACGCACACGCACACGCACACACACACACACACACACACACACACACACACACACAAACACACACACACACACAAACACACACACACACACAAACACACACACACACACACACACAAACACACACACAAACACACACACACACAAACACACACACACATACATACTCATAAACACACACACACACACACACACACACACACACACACACACTCTCTTTCCCACACACTCTTTCTTCACACACGTACACGTGCACGCGTGCACTCACGCACACTACACAAATCTATTTTAGTTGTAACACTAAAAGGGGAAAACCCTGTTTTCTAAGATTTAGTTCCACTTATTTGTTATAAGATTAATATCAAATAAGTAGTTTATTTATTTATTTAACTAACTTGATCGTAATTAAATGAAAAACTATAAATATATATTACCATGACTTTGCTAACAAAGACATTTGCATCCAAACAGGAGGTGTCCATCGAGAAGGTGAAACAACAATGGATATCTCTGCTGACCTGACCGAGTTGGGTCGCAGCCGAACGCTAGTTGTATGCAGTGGTGTAAAGTCTATTTTAGATATTGGGAAAACACTGGAATATTTGGTAATTGTCTTATTTCACTTAAATGACAAATGTGTGATAAAATATATATTTTAGGCATCATTATATAATATCAAAAGCATAAGTCTAAAGTGTGAGTGTCATACATTTTGAGTGGCTGTCTATCAGTACACTTTAATACAAGAGCGTATATAGTACACATGCACGCCAAACGCCCCGCCCTGATGCGCGCATGTCACCTAATTTATAAATAACGCAACTTTAATTACGTCACATTTTATATCTTCCCTAAACATGCTACCAAATATAAAATAAAACATTAAATATAAATTACCTCATATTTTACCATAGTTGCCACGTTTGGCGGAGTGACTAAACGAGCACGCTATTCCACCTGTTGGTAATTGTGAGCCGTGGCCCATAGACATCTCCATTTATCGTCAATTAAGAATCAAAAAGCAGATTCTTTGTCCATTCTCGCTACAACCATAGTATACTCGTAGCTACAGCGTAGCTCCAACGCATTTATTCAGTCAATAAACAACGAAATTTATTCATTACTATAGTACTTTTTCTGTCATATTGTTTTATAGTACTGCATAAATTAGTATTTTAACACATTTATCAATTAGATATCAAACTAGTTAACACTGTTTAACTGAAAATAAATTTTCGTTCGAAGTTTTAGATTGCATTTATAGAAATTGCATCACATCATCACCTATATTAGTTATCTACGGACATATCCTAATGGATCACGATATTGTGAAAACAAACAGATGTCAAAATATGTACTACGTCGATTATCCATTACCGTTCTCTATAAAAAAAGTTACAGCCTATATACGTCCCACTGCTAAGCACAGGCCTCCTCTCATTTCTGAGAGGGTTTTCTGGGCAAGGAATAGTCCGCCGCGCTGCCCCAATGTGTGTTGGCGAACTTCACATGTCTTCGAAATATTTTTTTCTTATTTTTCAGACATACAAGTTTCCTCACGATGTTTCCTTCATCGCCTAGCACGTGGTAATTCATCACTTAAAATTGTAATTACCAATTTCTTTGGTGCCGGCGGGGATCGAACCCGGGTTACTCGCGTCTGTTATATTTACAGCGATCGTTAACCATCTGAGCCAGCACGGCTCCGGTTCATTCGTGCTACACCATACATACCATAATATATTGAAATAATAATAGTTTTTACGGAATTTATCGCGTATATTTAACTTTTTAAATACCCGACGTTTCGAGAGCTTTACAGCACCCATGGTCACGGGAAGGACTGAGATGTTCAACGTCCAGATGTCCTAGTTAACCGCGGTTACCATAGATTAAAATTTATCTATGGTAACCGCGTCTTCCATTTTCCTTTCTTTAATGTTTTGTAAGATCAAGACATTATTTTGAAATATAATTTTATGACCTGTTCAAATAATAATAAGCGTAGCAGTGCGTTTAGAAAACAAGACGACGAGTTTCCGCTCCGAACTCTAAAAAAAGCGTGTGTTTGAATTGTTATCCCCTCTCCACATACGTGGTATGTCATGGTTATGGTAAATGGCTACTGTAGCCCATGGACCCCTGCAACGAATTTCAAATAAAGAAGGCTACGTAATGATTTCTTATATTTACGCAAACACTACACATTTAAATAAAAAGTTATCGGTGAACACAAACGGATGTGATAAACGAACTTACTGTCCACCTGATGGTAAATGGCTACTGTAGCCCATGGACACCTGCAACGGATTTCAAATAAAGAAGGCTACGTAATGATTTCTTATATTTACGCAAACACTACACATTTAAATAAAAAGTTATCCGTGAACACAAACTCATGTGATAAACGAACTTACTGTCCACCTGATGGTAAATAGCTACTGTAGCCCATGGACACCTGCAACGGATTTCTAATAAAGAAGGCTACGTAATGATTTCTTATATTTACGCAAACACTACACATTTAAATAAAAAGTTATCGGTGAACACAAACTGATGTGATAAACGAACTTACTGTCCAGCTGATGGTAAATGGCTACTGTAGCCCATGGACACGTGCAACGGATTTCAAATAAAGAAGGCTACGTAATGATTTCTTATATTTACGCAAACACTACACATTTAAATAAAAAGTTATCCGTGAACACAAACTGATGTGATAAACGAACTTACTGTCCACCTGATGGTAAATGGCTACTGTAGCCCATGGACACCTGCAACGGATTTCAAATAAAGAAGGCTACGTAATGATTTTTTATATTTACGCAAACACTACACATTTAAATAAAAAAGTTATCGGTGAACACAAACTGATGTGATAAACGAACTTACTGTCCACCTGATGGTAAATGGCTACTGTAGCCCATGGACACCTGCAACGGATTTCAAATAAAGAAGGCTACGTAATGATTTCATATATTTACGCGAACACTACATATTTAAATACACCTCTTATCCCCTCATGTGACCGTGGGTGCCGTAAAGTGCTCGAAACGTCAGGAATATGAAATAAGTTAATATACGCGATAAAATTCGTCAAAACTAGTTTTATTTAACGAAGGATACAGATACTTTGTCTAAGCAATAAGAAGGGATGCCTCACAGCCTGTTATTTTATCGCTCTCTATACCCTTCAGAACGGAACACCAGCAAACTTTGCTATTTGACGGTAGGAATAAGTAAAGGGGGTGATACCTAGCCGGACGAACTCCAAGAAAAGGAGTTTTATAGTCCTATTTAAGTCCGAAAATAACGCCTTCTTATATTACGTACAAGCTACGTTTTGAATAAGTTGATGGTAGCCTTTTTTCAATATGACATCATAATATCAAATATGTAATAACCTAAACCATGCCTAACCGAGGCCCAGAATCAAAACAAGTCAAAACGCGTTTAGATAAAATCCGTAAAATAAGTTTTATTTAATAGAGAGTTCCTATTTATTTTATATCATCATAATATCATAACAGGAAACACAAGGTGTATCAGTTTGCGCTTTCGGTGATTCGGATGATTTCCCAGCTTTCTACACCGTGCGCTCTGGTTACCGTGCACCGCATCGCGTCGCAGACGCATCGCATGCCGCAAGGTTTTTCCATGCAGCGCGACAATTACAGCTACATTCAGGTATCGTCGTTGCGGTACCAGTGCCTCAAGAACATGCAATGGACGGTAAATTCTAGTTAACTACACTTTTCGACGCTTTTGACTCAATGTAAGGAATGAAGATTGTTAGATACAGTTCTACGAATTGTGTATTAAAATCATCTATCACAAACTAGTCAGTTTGAAAAATAATTAGGAAATAGGAATAGGAATAAGCTGACATCTTTAAAAAAACTAACTAAGCCTATCAAAAGTCGACTGCCGAACATAGTTTTCCCCATATAGAACGAGATCCCAGGGCCACCAGACATCACTAATTTTCTGACGAACAAAATGTATAAGATTGAGTAGTGTTAGTATCTACTATGACCGCATGCCTACCTACTAGCTTGGTCAGATGGCCATTTTCCAGGTATCAGGTAATCAATGTACGAAAACACATTACCTCACGTTAATTCTCCAAACTGATTTTACATATATGTTAGATAATATCGTTAAAAATCAGCCATCAATACTCCCAGACGCTTTCCGTGACCAGTATCTCTTTGCAGACGCTTTATAGCTCTCAAAAATTACTCAATTTCTCTTACATTCTGAAGCTGGTAGAGCCATGCTGCAGCTATATTGTGGTTGCAGCACGAACGGTTCGGCTCGACAGGGGTAGGACCACGTTATCACAGAATACCAGCGTAAAATAGCAGCTTAATGCTGCTGTGTTTCGTATGGTGAGTGTAGAGAACCGGAGACCCTTTTAACTGGAAACGAGGGATTCAATCTCAGTCCTCAGGGCTGGCAACGCATCTGAATTTTGATTTTTAATTGAAGATAAGTGTAAGATGTCTATGGGCCACAGGATTCACTTAACATCAGGTGGGCTGTGTGGTCGTTTGTCACACTTATACTATAAAAAAGCTCCATTTTTATCTATGTTAACCTAACAACTATTTTAAAACCTTTTACAAGAAGGCAGACCGATCCTAGGGGTCAATCATCCCCTAGACCCAATGCCTCTGTGGGTATGAATGCGAGGGCATTATCCGCGCGCGTGAGCGTGACTAAGACATGCCCACAGACCCGGTCGTCTGGTCAGCAGATAGGCATGCGATCGTGGTAGATACTAACACGAATCAATCTTACACATGTCTTTCGTCAGAAAGTAAGTGACATCTGGTGGCCTTGAGATCTTGGACTGATAGGTTACCTCATAGGGAAGTTATTTATTATACCAAATACCATAGGGGGTGACCTTGTGCCAGCGTTAACTAGGTCTACTGTGCAATACATGCGGTTGACCTGAGCGTGTTTTACAGTACTTATTTTATTAATTTTAAGTGAAATATAAAACAGATTTAGAAAATATAATGTCTATAATGGTGAATTACTGTTATAGTTATCTGAGTAACTAAGTAAAGTTGAGTTCAAAGCGAAAACTGGAAACATCTATATAAAGAAGGTGTCACGAAAGTATTTGGTAGTGCAACGATTGTAAATTGTTGTTTCTTGTTGTAGTAAAAAATTAATTTTGTTCAATAAATGTTTTCAAAATATTATAATATCCAAATAATATTATTCCCAATATCTTGACCACCACTTGCATTTACACCGGCATCGCCTGACATCACAACTGTTGTCTTTAAACTGTGTTATTAGGTTTTAAGCCTTAGTCTAGCAATAAACTACATAACGTAGTTTATTGCTAGACTAAGGCTTAAAACTATTAAAAATTCTTTCAAAGCTTTCTGAACTATCTAACTGTTAAAGCCCGAAACTATTAATTATCTACGTTTTTGTATTAAGATCATGTATTCACTAATTTTGTTTGTTTATAATATTTTGAATTTTTTTCATTATTCACAGAAAATATAATTAAAGAAGCTATACAAGGTGCCCTCATAAATGCAAAGAATAAAAATATTTCTGGAAAAGAAGTAACACCATTTTTGTTAACTGCTGTGTCCAAGGCAACTAAAGGGGCGTCTCTTAATACTAGTATCCTTTTAAATTTATTAATCGTTAATGAGCTTTCAAGTCTATTTTACATGATATAGGTTAGCGTACCTATATGTACTTTCAATTTCACACTACATTTTTTTCAACCAGGTTTTTCTCATCCTCATTAGTACGTCTTCAGCAATCTTTTGAGCTTTATTTAAACAGGGTTATTTTTTAAATAGTAGACTAATTCTACACTTAAGTTCAAATATGTAAATAATGATATACCGTTATTGCTGACCGATCGACCCTTACGAATGTGCGCGTGCGTAGTAAAATAGATGATTATAAGCGTTAGATATTTATAAATGACAATCAGTTAAAATAACGCATTATCACGCATTCTAAATTTAAAAGATAAAAAGGACAGAATGTTTGAGATTTTTATAATTAATTTTTCTTCATCATTCGCCTTTATTCTATACTTTTACTTATTTACTTATTCTGTACTTTTTCTGCAAATTTGGCCGTATATTGCAAAATAAACCTGTATATCCATGAATTGCAAAAGTAATGATTTTATTTTAGGAGATATAGTTAGATACATATTTTAACCACATTTACGTTTTTTACAATTTATATCACTAATGTTTGGGTTTCGAAGACAGCGATTATAGAAAATGCCCAAAAGATAATCTTAATACGAATACCGCTCATACATTACATATAAATTACATGTAGTTACATGTAATATACAATTGAATAAACTAAATACATCTCTCCTTGATAATAGATGCTGTTAAGAACTTCAAATTTTGGCATGTTAAAACCCAAAAAAGAAAATGTAACGCAATAAATCCGTACGTTAGTTTTATTTAATGCCAAAAAGGAGGCTTATTTTCAACAGGGGACTTGCGAGCTGTAATGATGTAGACGATGATGAATATCAACAAGGGATCGCTCCATAACCCTCTCAGAAATTAATGAAGACTTGTGCATAGCAGCAGTATTCAGGAATACTTTACAAAAACTATTCTAAACACGTTTTCTTATCCTTTTTTGTCAGCCTGTAAATGTCCACTGTCGGATATGAGTCTTATTTTTATTTTTATTATAGCTCTCGATAAAGGGATGTAGGGAAATCCTTATCTTATCGTCACGCTTGGCAGGCGGATTCGATTGCGATACCAAAGCGTCGCATCTTTGGCGCTGGCCGTCACCGCTCTGGCTATTTTACGTCGAGTATAAACGACAGTCGTCTCTTTCAACATCCGCAAGACAAACTGTGGTAACGAATTCTCTTCTTCTACCACAAAATGGCAGGCACACTTTAAATAGCTTAAGTTTTCGGTATCATGTAAATTAAATGGATACAAAAATACACTTAAAATGTTTCCTTTTTTTCTCTTTATCTATTTAGGGGCTTTTATCCCGAACGGCTATATCAGCCCCATCATACCCTAATCTTATTCAAGACTCATTGGAATAAAAAACCTTGTTGAGAAGAACTAGAATTATTTGTGTTTCATAACCATATACTTAAACCAAAAATTTTGTAGTATCTGACAGTGGTTCTTCTACCACAGTTAAACAAACTTTCAAATCGTACATATTTATCTTAAAATTTTGCACGAATAATTCTCTTTCTCTCTTGAACTTGAACATTCCATTAATAAATGCTGAATGTCATCAATAAACCACACTTCACAGTTAGGGCAAATATTTTGGAAGGAATTATTCCTTAACGATGGACAGATATCGCTTTAATAAAAAACAATGCAAAGGTCGGTGCCGACATTGCTGTCGAAATTCAAAAACTGAAGAATGCGAATAACGCACGGAACTCCTATAATATAGCTACATCAAAGGGATCCGGGACGTATTCACCAAATTCGTCGAGGCAGTTTCACACTGCATGTAATAAACGCTTTGGAGAGTCGAATCCAAGAGATGCTGCAAGCTTGTTGGTGAACAAGAATTTGAATAATCCCATACTGGTGATTGGCGGAGCAAATATTGACAGAACTTACCGTATCAGTGAGAATAATATACAGGTAAGTAAATAACAAAAAATAAAATTTTACAAAGAAATATAAATTTTGTAGCTGAAATTAAAACAAAATTTGTAAGATTTGTAGGTATTACATGTATTTAAACTTGATTTTCTATGTTTACAATGCCTAACCAACTTTTCAATGCCTCAGAGAAACAGTTTAATGAACTCTTAGAAAGACTGGAACAACTATGTAATGTTATTCAGAGGTTTATGAAAATTAATTGATAGGTACTACGTCATTAAATATTTTATTATTTCGTATGTTATATTTTGTGAATCTTTATATCCATTTATAAAATTACTTATAAATCGTCATTTAAATATATCCAAACAGTTAATATAAATGTTTATTATATTACCCTTCCACCTGTTGGTGGTTATGATTTTTCTAGGACTTTCAACAACAGTTCTTGACACTTCCGAGTGCCAGATTAAATGTACCTACACCTTTTTTTATTACTATGAATTTTGCGGGAAAAGAAATGAGGTTAATATCTTTTCAGTATTGCGAGAACGCTTAACCGTGCAGTAAGAGATTAAACAGCCTATGAACGATCCTGCTGAATAGTCCTAAAATTAACTTATTTTACCTTAAAGAGCCGTGGTAGCTCAGATGGTTAGCGCTCGCTGTAAATATAACAGAATGCGAGTAACCCGGGTTCGATCCCCACCGGCACCAATGAAATTGTTAATTGCAATTTTAAGTGCTGATTTACTGAAAACATCATGAGGAAACCTGCATGTCTGAGGAATAAGGAAAAAATATATTTCGAAGACATGTGAAGTTCGCCAACACGCATTGGGGCAGCGTGGCGGACACTTCCTTGCCCTAAAACCCTCTCAGAAATGAGGGGAGGCCTGTTCCCAGCAGTGGGACGTATATAGGCTGTAACTTAACTTCATTGCACTCTCATGCCTCTAACACCGCTTCCCAACTTTCATTTGATCTTCACCATAAGTAAAATAACAGATGCCTTTTTGGACTTGAAAAATTGCTATTATATCTAAGTTAAGCTGGAAGACTTCCGTATGCAGTTTTAGGTTATCGAGAAGAAATGTTCATAAACCTTAAAAAATTCTTAAATAGTTCTTAGAACAATTTTTTGCGCCCCTTATTTTGTACCTAATTTTTAACCTCAAGTTTTACCCCGCTATTGCCAGGTGTTGTAATTTATAACATGATTAGTTAAACATGCACATAATCGTGACTAAATAATAATTAATTGGCGTAACGTAATAAAATATATTTCGATCTGATAACAGAAAATTGCTTACGTTTTGTTAGAAATGTAATCCATTTTTGTGGTTAAGGTTTGCGTGGCTCATTATCATTATTATCAATAATGTAATAGTAATTTGAAATTTAGGAAAGAGCTTTATGAATAATAAATTGATATTAAAAAACTGATTGTTGAAGTTTAACGTAAATATCCTTTTTCTGTTATGAACGTATAAAAAAGTAATAATATTCAGGTTCTTAATTCAAGAAGGCTAAAATATGTTTCAACAGAAGTGTTTATAATAATGACAAATATATGAATCACGTGATTTTACAATATTTAAGATATTTTATGGAAAATAATTTTAAACAAGTGGTAAAATTAAAAATTTTGTAAAACTGACTTCCATAAGACCGAATCCATGTATTTGGAGTCAATTAAATACACAATTTATTATAACTCAAAAAACACTGGTCTGATCTTGATTAAATTTATTGGAAGGTACACGATAGGATAGGAGGCTACACGAGAAGGAACAGCTTCAGTTAAAAAAATCATTAAAATCGGTTCACCCAGGAAAAGTTATGAGGTAACATACATAAAAAAGAAACATACAGTCGAATTTAATACCGCATCCCTTTTGAAGTCGTTAAAAAATCATAAACACGAATTTATAAAGAGTATGTGGATTGATATAAAATTATCAAGATTTACGCACAGACAATTGTTCCCGTTCCTTTTTTCCAATTTTTCAGTTCCAGTCTCTTAAACATAACTGATTGATGAGCCTATTAAATGGTATGTGTGTAATGTGATACATTTAAAAATTGAAAATGTTATCACCAAGGTTTTTGAATTCTAAAGGCCTGCTCATTCAATCTATTTCTCTAATAAATTGAATTGTCTTTTTCTTCCACACTAAATATAAATAATGAAATATGAAATGAAATAGGATTTATTTAACAAACTCTTTATTTGATGCATTTATTATGATAGCTCTTTGTCGCCTAGTGCGTACCTTCGGAAAGTTGTATCAACTCCACTACAAATATTGAATACAATTACGAAACACTCATTACTTGAAAAATTACATTGAACACAGAATAAAGTTTACAGCGAGAAATTTAAACACAAGCTCTATATCTTAACATATTGTAATAGTCTATGTAGAATGTAATTTAATAATAATAATAATAATTTTGTATCTAATTTTACTAAATTAAAGAAAAAATATCTTAAGTTTTTCTTTTATTTTCAAATTTAAATAGTGTAAATACAATATTTTTACAAGCATTCACAAGAAAATTATTTGATCCTCACAGGCCTGTATTACCCTCATTCCAAATTTTCCCTTATTTACAAACCTACATAGTATTTTTTAAAACAATTTATGTTACATAACATTTATATACTCGGAAAGTAATTACGTAGGTATAGAAGTCGCCAGTAAAAGATTAGGAGCACATTAGAGATTTGTCTCTAATATGTTGCTAATCTAATATAAAATTGTATTAAATACCGAATAATTTACGCCAAAATGAAGTCAGTTAAATGAGTTTTTTTAGCCAAGGCACATGTTATTTTGCTGTTCTTGGAAGAAATGCAGGTCTTAGATTGGATCCTAGCTACAAATTATCCAACTTTCCGAACATAGGTACAAAATTTTATAAGACTGGTACATTTACGTGACAACAATATTAAAAAACTATTTTTCTGCACAATTTCACATAATAATACCTAAACCTACTCTAAGCGAATAATGTATTTAACTTATACTCATTACTATATTATAATATCTAAAAGTACATTTTAATAAGTACAAATATGTAGATAGATGGTAAATTTTTTGTTATTGTGAAAAAAAAAGAAAAATAACATATTATAAATTATACAATTGAATATAATACATTCGCCATGGTCGGTGTTAAAGTCAATTTGTTATAACATTATTTTATAAACTCTTTAAAACATTTTTAATTAAATTATTGTAGTCCATTGCCTCCAAGCGTATCAGATTCCAAACGATTCTATAATTTTTGACCACTTACTACATATTTTATTAAATTTACGAAATATTTTTACCAACCTAATACGCAGCCATTTTACAATAATAATAAATATAATTTTTGATTCAACTCTACACGACATTAAAAGGTTTAAAACCTCATTTGGACACAGCCATTTAAATTAAGGTAATCCTTCATACCAAGACGTATAATATTATGTATATATCACTTTAGAGCGTCTTAGCAATGTAACGAAAAACTTCTCTAGGAATGGAAAAAGAATTAGTATTAAATTTAATGTAGTTTTACGCTTCATACTGTTACAAGCATAATTATATTCGTAGGCACTACGTCGTTTAAGCTCATATCAGTACTATTTTGTTTATTCATGCACAATAACTCGCATCCTACTCGTGTACATACATACAAATTATTTCTAGAACTATTTACATTCGTACAATCGGGGAAATTAATCAGTGAAGATTTTACCTATTTTAGAAAAACAAAAAATACTACGTTACTCCCTTAGGTTTGCTGCTATTACAGATTGTAGGGATTTAGTTGCACACTAAATATGCGATAATCTTCACTGCATAACTAAAATTAACCACTAACTTTCCGGTTGGCTGGTAGAAAATGCCATATGGCATTAAGTTCGCCGTTTGTACCGTTAGTACAATAAAGTGTAAATAAATAAATAAATAAAATCTTCACTAACCTCAAAAACTTAACGGTGACTAACAAAGATATACAGAACACTACGTAGATTTCAAATGACGCCAAAACCATGCTTAACTTATTGTAAGAACACGCACTTACACACACATACACGAGTATGTACCTACTATACGGGATGTTAGTGTAAACACCGTTATCCTTGAAACCAGTGGTTTGGTTTCACTTATAGAACGTAAATTCAATAAATTAAAAAAACGCTATTTTCTTTCATAAAATTTAAAAAATTTCTGTCCGATACCGTCCGTAAATTCATGGATACCCTATGCGATCGAGTGACGTAATCACTGTAAAGATCACCACCCGCGCTAGCTACCTACGAAACATTCCAATAAAAACACAATAGGTACACATAACCTGTGATGTAACTTTTCCTTCATACTTTCATCCTGGCTTAGGACAGGCAAAAATTGGGGAATTAAGGAAATTGAGTTTTTACTAAAAAAAAATTTGTTATTTTTCATTGAATTTACATTCTCTAAGTGAAATCAAACCACTGGTTTCAAGGATAACGGTGTTTACACTAACATCCTGTATAATATGTGGTCGTCACGTCACTTGAAACTTACATACGTCAGTAGTGTTCTATCTAAAATTCTTGGTTGGTCTGAGTTTGTTTATAAAATAAGGTAACCATTTATACATCTGTAAACGCAAATCATTTTAATATTTCACAATGATAGTAGCTGCTGTAAGCCGCTAAGAAAGCTATACATTCCTGATAATGTAATTTTTTACAACTTATATTTCACTGTGAAAAATATAAAAACGGGAACAGTAACAACAATAATAATTGCTAAATAATTACCATTATTATCATTATAAACAATCATTTGCTCAAACACTATGCAATATTCGTTTCGAGTCTCGTTATTTCTATTGGAAATTTCTGTCATAGTTATTTTTAATTGTTTATAAGCTCTCTTGTAAATAATCCCAATTTATCCGTCCGTTGTAAACATTAGCATTTAATTCGGTAAAATTGGTCACATTTGCAATAAAAAGCCACTGTGCGTTTCGAAGAGGAGATATAACAAGGAATCTATAAAGTACCTACTCGTATAATGTTTGTAAAATATAAGAGGGGCAGAGCAATTAAAGTGAACAATACATCTACGTATCCCAAAGCGACACACATGTAAAATAAATATTTTATAAATCGTACAATTAATTACTGTAAGATTTCGTGTCCTAAAAAATAAATAAATTATGTATTTTTATATATCGTATTCTTATTAAAATAAAATCAAAACTATTCACATACTATAATATACTATAAAATATGAAACATTATTAATAATAGTATGTGCAAAATGCGTAAATATGACTTTTTGAAACAAAATCATTCAATATATACCTAATGCATATATAAATATAATAATGCATATATACATCTAGAAACTTTAACTGACAAGCATAGGAACTAAACACAAGCTTTGCTCGTGGAAGTCAGTTCAACTAAAGAACACTTTAACATCTGTACTAATGTTTAAAATAGTCACTGTTTCACTGTAACGTCCATATTGACATTTAATATTCATTACGTAAAAACCCTCATTTTAAATACACTGTAATAACCGCACGACATAATTTTCTAAAGGACAACAGTCAAAAGTCGGCCTTACAACTCAAATTCGGAGCGAGTATGGCGGCGATAGTCAAGCCGAACACGGGCACTGGTGCGACGAACGCACATGTGTGCTCCGTGCGCCATTGGGGGGTCCACCTCAAATCCAGCGGCAGGAAATGAGCGCCATCGCCGGCCGAATAACCGCTCCAAGTAACATCTTAGTCAGATCCGAGTTGCAGCGCTGTCTGCCGCTAGTGGCCGGTAATCGCCTCGAGCAAATTCTCGCATCTCACAGTTATTGTTGCCGTTTATAGTTTTAAGACTAAGCGGCTCGTCGTGTATACTCCGACGAGCACATGGTTCGGCACTTCGACCAAGGAGAGCTTCTCTTTCGCCCGCCCTTTCTGGACTACCGCCGTGCGTTCGAACCCCACCGTTTGCGTTAACAGCATTTACAACAACAGTCTGAGACAGTGGCCCGCCATGAATGGGGCTACCGTCAAGTAACTCCCCAGCGCCTAATTCGCTTCGTAATATTCTTATTTTTTGTATCATTTCTTTTATCTCGTATCTTAGAATACCCAGGAAGCACAATTTTAAAAATGCGATGACACAATATCCAAGGACGAATAATGCATCCGCTGTTCGACGAAGCCAGGAAAGCAGCCTCTCTGCACACGCTGCCGTGTGTGGCGCACAATGAACTGGAGTGAATGGTGCCTGTGATGTAACTGACATAACCGCTAAAGAAGCGGATGTTACGGCTGGTGAATGTGCTGGAATCCGACAACAACTAGGTGGTAACGCCGAGCGATTAAAAGCAGCAAAATCTGCAGGACCGGTTACTCCACAACAACGTTGCTCCCTTTGTAGACGATCCCAAGCCTCGGAGAAATCCACGTCGTTTTCGTAATCTTTTGCAAGGCGTATGCGCAGCTGTGGTCTTAACTCTCGACATACACGTTCGAAACGGAATGCCCAATAGACACCGATCGCGGCGTCACCGACTAGAAGCGCCAGTAGAGCGAGCCAGTAGGCGTTAAGCATACGCTCGGATAGACGCAGCGCGGCGAGGCAGCCGAGTAGCTGTAGAAGGCCGGCCTGCGCAGGTAGGGCCGCGTATCCGTAAAGAAAGCCGGGCTGCGCGGCACCGAGACCAGGCACTAGTGTGCGACGATAGTCTGCAAGCGCACGGCCTGCTGCCGTGCAGAACGCGAGCGCGCCAAGTAGCAGTGCCCCGTTGCACGCGTAGATCCAGATGCGGTAATAGCGCATCGCGCGGTGCGCGGCGGGGTAATGCGCGGGGCGCGCGGGCGGTGGCAGCGTCATGGTGGTAGGCGCCGCATCCTGACGCTGCCCGCGCCCGCGCCGCCGCCACGCGCCGCGCCCCACGCCTCTGCAACACAACATTTTTTGACATGAATACGACCTAGTGAGCTTCCATTGTGAGAGGCGATTCAGAAAACTGACGATAACAAAATCGCGGTTTACAGTTTAGTGTTGCAGCAACATGTCTATCATCTACATTCAAAATTTAATTTCACTATTCGATAGCTAAGGGATCAAAGAATTCGTTGCGTTGAGTGAGAACTGCGACGGAATCGCGGGCGGGGGAAGTGGGAGCGCCGCCATTTTGAGGTCGGTTTGTTACGTATATGTATTCTCGTAAAACATAACATATAGAATAGGATAAGGGTGAGAAACGACGGGCGCTGAGGCGCAAAGACATACATATTATCGATTTAGAATCAAAATACACATGCGTGATGACTTGAAAACTAAACTGACTAAGCTAAAACTGACTAACTAATTTCCAGTAAATAGGGTATTCCGGTCTCTACACCTACCATACGAAAAACTTCTGTGAGAGCGTAGTCCTTCCACGATCAAGCCAACCCATTCGTGATACAACCATCACATAGTTGCAGCGTAACTATACCACTGTTAATTATGTTATGCTATATTGATACCCATTATCAATATAACATATTATAATCATTGTTGCAGTCCACACCCAATTTACTACTGAACAATGACCTTCTACATTTTTTAATATTTTTTATACCAAATCAGGTTATCAGACCATCTAAAAAAGGTTTCTCCACATTTTGCTCTTCCGGAGTCCGGCGAGATCTAATTTACCCATGAAAACGCAGCTAGTCATTGCAAAGCTAGGCATATTATTCTTTTTATAGGTTCATAAATCTCATAAATACGTATGGTACTTACTCTTCCTTGCCTGAAAGTAGATCAGTCTCTGCTTGTCTTGACAGTATGAGACTATTTTAAGTACCTTCCTTTGGAACCGGTTGTAATGTTTCCCGAGCTATATTGATGAAGAGTCCTATTGAGTGACTATTGAGCTTACCGATCCATTTAGCTTTGTCGGTTACACCGATTTTGCAAGATATCGTCGTCACTCAGAGACACCGTGTAATAATCATAGATTGCCGAGCAAATTTTATCTTCCTCCTATAGCCTGTGTTTTCGTGGTCCATTCCATCAGGACTTGTGTTGTCACAGTGTCAGTGCCATTAATATCGATACCTATTCTGATGAAATTGTCATTATCGTTTATAACCTATGATGTTTTGCAAATTATACAATGAAATTTCAACATGATTCTGTAATTTAATTAATATGTGTGAGCAATGGTAATTTTAAGTTATTAAAGAAAAAATAAACGATTAACTTACAATCCGCCTCCCGTACCGTTTGCGCGAAACCTGGCTAGTCACAGGAGGGGGCGAGCGAGTCTGTTCAGTGCGCCTACCACACCGGTGCGAGGTCTGCAACAATTCAAGAAAGAAGTCTTTCAAAATGTGAATTTGTCTGCAACTGTCGACAAAGTACCTTATGTGTAAAAATATTTCTCATTGACCCATTGAAGGCAGTACCAAAACATGAGCAAAGATACCTGTGGTACTAATATAACATTTTAAAACTTCTTTGTCGGTATTTATATAATCTGTTGTTGAATATAATGGTTTTCATAACTGCGCCAAGTGTATAATTTTTTTCTTTAAAGTTTTGCAGTTTTTACTTCGCTGGGCTGTAGGTAATGGACATTACGTCGTCCACTATGCGATAAGGTGATCAATTTCCTACGTTACGTTATACATCACAACAAAATTCAAGAAAACTAGCAAACACTCGATCAGTTGTTGTCGTAGATTACTAATACAAGTTGGTGTTTTAGAACACAAGCAGTCGGTAGATAAATGTTCAGTATATATCCCTATGAATCAGTTACTAATCTTAGTTAATCAACAAATCGAATAATCAATTTTATTACAATTTTTGGACTACGATGACATCGATAACTATATTTTGGTAAATGTTCATGTTTACATTGTACATAATATTTTCTTACATGTACTTGGTTTGTAAAAGTTAGAATATTGATTTTTAAACAGTTTAGAATCAATCACAAGAGCGTAAATTGAAAATTTCACCTACGGGCAGTAGTTTTTTTGCAAAATAACAAGTCTTCATGTCAGCTGCATGTCCCCATAATAAAACACTGTTAGATATTACGTTGTGAAATGAACTAAAGTATACTTACCCAACAGTACCACCATCCGATAGTTTTTTTTTATAGGATAGGGTGACAAACGAGCACACAGTCCACCTGACGGTAAGTGGTTGCTGTGGCTCATAGACATCTACATCTATCCTCAATTACGAATCAAAATGCAGATGCGTTGTCACCCGTGAGGACTAAGATGGAATGCCTCGTTTCCAGTAAAAACGGGTCTCCGGTTCTCTACACAACACAGCAGCATTAAGTTACTATTTTACGCTGGTATTCTGTGACCACGCTGGTCCTTCCCCGGTCGAGCCTACCCAGTAGTGCTACAACTATACTACTAATATAACTGTAGCATGGCTCTACCACACGTAAAAAATTTTTTTTTCCAACAGTGAAGTTAGCTAAAGTTTCTGTGTGTGGATCCCAATGCAATCACATAAACGTACATTTAAATTCAAGTTCTTGGGGGAAAACGCTATGCAACCAGTCGCGACCAGTTAGGTGAGATAACAACTTAGTACTTGCGACTCAGTGATCATCTTCCCTTGCCGCTAATCCCGGCGGTTGTTAAATCAAATATCTACTAATGAATAGAGCTATAAATTATCGTTAGTTGCAAATCGATCCTGAATGCTATTTAAAACGGAGGTGTGTGTAGGCGGCAATAGCGAACGCCCTGTTGGCGCCTCGGGATTAGTCACACACACGCACCCGCCGTAATGAAATGGTGATTTTGTGTTTATGTCTTTCAAGATTTATGTATTGTGTATAATTTTAAGTACTTTGTGGTTCTAATATTGAAAATTATTCCCTTTATTAACCTTAAATTAGTTTAGTTGACAGTAATGATTTCGTATATTTATCTTAATAAATATATATAAATTACATGTCACGTTGTTTGTCCGCGATGGACTCCTAAACTACTTAACCAATTTTAATCAAATTTGCACACCGTGTGCAGTTTGGTCTAACTTGAGAGATAGGGTAGTTTTTTTGCCCATGAGTGACCCACATTTTTTTTGCGAATTTAAGGATTTTTAATAGGACAAGGGTCGTCGAAAAGGGCAGAACAATGTCTGTCTGGCAAGCTCGTTCAATATTAAAAGTATTATGAGTTTTAGAACAGGCTTAAAGGAATCATGCGTCTCCAAAAATGACGTATTATCATATTTAAATTTAGAAAAAATAACTATATTTTGAAAGTATTTGAGGAAAACCGACTCAGTATAATAAATTTAAAAAAATATATATTATCCAGGTAGTGCTTTATTACAATCCACCTAGTGGTAAGAGGTAATAAAGCCCTAGATGTTAAATTGTTATGCCTTAGCGTAACAAACGCCTGTTCACATAATAATTTTCTAAATTTACGTGAACACATGAAATAAAACAAATTTTACGTATTTTATTGCATTTAATTTTACGTTTTTTAATTTCTGACGTTTAGGGTGCTTTACAGCACTCGTGGTCACGGGAGGCACTGAGGTGACGTCCTGATAAGAAGGCTATCTTCAACTTTAAATATATTCTTTATACTGATATCCTGCAAAACTATCTTACTGTGTTTTGAAGTCTTGCAATATGCTTAGATTTTTATTTAGTTTTATTAATTATGGAATCACACCTATATCGTAGTATCCAGCTATCT